CCCTGGTGATATTATGATGTTTTAAGGAGGATGACTTGCACGAGGGTTTATCCCGAGGAAGTGCAATTATACGACTCCTGGTTATGTTGAGCCAATTGTGGCCAGGTCAAGAACATGTCCAAGAAATGAATTATGATTAAGCAAGATGAGATATGAATCATGTATAAGGATACCAAATATGAGGGTTGTGGTCTCACGGTCAACTACATAGTAATTAGGGCTCCCTATGCTATTACTCTATTATGATATGATAGTCACACCTCTCATGTGGTGGTGACTGAAGAATTCTTACGAGATATGACCACACCCAGAGTGGTGTCGGGGTATGACTACACCCATAGTGGTGTGGGGTATGTATGACCACATCCGACGGGATGTTGGGGTATGTATGACTACATCCGACGGGATGTGGGGTATGTTTCCCGGGAGAGTTATTAGCATGGGAGTAGCCAGGCGCCTATGATTAAAACATGATAAGATGCATATGCATAAGTCAAAGTGGTTGAGTCTTTTGCTTATTGGGATATGAGGATGGCTGAGGTCCGATCCTAGTGTTTTGGCTCGTTTGCTAGATGTATGGTAGGGGTATGCTCTGTTATGAACTCACGATGCTATGATTATCTCACTCAGCTATGAGCTGACCCTCTTTTATTCTTCTTCTCTGCTTATGCTATGTGTAAGCAGATCATCAGCAGCAGCAGTAGATAAGTGTTAGGTGGGAGAGGAGCTAGAGTTGAAGCCAGGATGAGGTATGGTCTTCAACTATTCTGTGCTTGGACTACTACTCGGGATTTTGGCCAGTGATCCACACCTTTTTGTAAAAGAATGTTTTGAGAACGTTTTTCATGTGCATACTAGCTTCTGATGTAGTGTGAGATATCCACAGGTGTGGAAAGTTGATGATATGTTTCTGTTCTCAGTGCTTTTCCTTCTGCAAACGAACCACAAGAAAAAGATCTGCAATTGCTCATCCCGTACAATCGTGCAAAGTTGTGGTTGGACGTAACGCTCCCACAACTAGCTAATTGTCGAGTCACCCGCAGATAATTGTTGAGTCACGATTGAGCGTTGAGGGGTAATAGACCTTGCGCTATATCAGGTTTATATTGCAATATTTTACTATTGCCATTACAGCTGCTGTCAATTTATGTGATGTCTATCTATTGTGGGTTTTCTTTTATTTTCAGCGTAGACTACTAAGTATACGTGACCCTATTGTTTGGAGTCAAGGGTGAGCGCTACGGCTACTATGGCCGAAAATCAACACGCTGCCGGCCCCTCTACATTGGGATTAAGTGCTCGCGGAGTTCATCATTCAAGGAGACAATGTAATTTCTATCGCTGTTTTTTTTTTTGTCCGGGCCCATTCATGTCCTAGATGTTCAGGATCTGTACACAATCGTCATCCTCCCTCCTCCCGTGTTTTGATTTTCTAGGGTTGATGCGAGCAATATTCAAACCGCTAAAACCTCCTTCCAGACAACAAACTGTTGCTGAAAGGGATCGTCTTAGTCAACGTACTCAAGCCGCCATGTTCAGTACATTTAATTAAATGCAATGCAGTCATGTTTATTGGATGAAAATAATTTCAGTTTGTTGTTTATCTTTCAGGAATACACAATCTTGAAACACAACTGCGCGATATCGATTGCTTGATGGCCCAAGTCTGTCGACAACGACGACGGGTGAACGAGTGATTTTGAATAGGCGCTTGAGATGAGCCGAGATACATTTGAGCCAGATATTACTGTCCAATATAAGAGCTCTCAACTCGAGAGAATTAATTATCATCATCCATCCTTAATGGCGTTACACTATCCAATTTTATTCCCTTATGGCGAGGATGGATGGAATCCGTATATAAGCTGCGATGATGATGATGATGCCGATACTGAGAATCTTTGGAATGACAACACTTTGTACCAGTGTGATTACTATTCAAATCGCATGCAGAGTAGATTCCAATAGTCAAATTCGCTGTTAAGTTATTAGTTGGTAAATTATTTCAGCAGTATGTTGTCAATGCTTATGCATTGGCGAAAGCAGAACGACTTGACTGGATCCGCAATAACCAGTCAAAGCTTCGTGCTCATTACGTTAGTGGTTTGCTCGTTGCTTTTTTGCGGCGTGACTCTGATTTAGAAATGACTGGAAAGCATGTGATTTTTTGGTTGATTCGCATCTGGGGGGGGTCCACGTTATAAGTATGAAAATTTTCAAGATGCTATGGCTATTTATAGGTGGTTGGGGTATGTACCCGGATTTATTTATTACATTCACTTGCAATGCAAATTGGTCGAAAATACAATTTATGGTGGATTTGGTTAACTCAGATGGTCGAAAAGATATCAACAAATCTGATATGACTACATAAGCTAATGTCTGAGATCAGGGATAAAAAAATATTTGTAGCCACAACTGGACGTAAGTAATTTAGTTTGCTCGACTTTTCATTTTATTGTTGGTAATTAGAGGTGGCAATTTCAATCCAATCCACAAATCAAATCCATCAATCCATTAAAAATATCCACCTAATCCAATCCATTTAAATCCAATCCATTTTATCCAAATCCAATTGGATTGGTGGATTCATGGATTGGATCCATGGATCATTGGCAAATTACGGTTTAGTACCTATAATTTTTATTTTTTACATTTTGGTACCTAAAATTTAATTTTTTATACGAAAAATATCATTGGAAAATTACGTTTTGGTACCTAAAATTTTTCATTATAACATTTTAGTACCTAAACTTTTTACATTTTACATATTGGTCCTTGGTTGAGGATGTCATTTGGATTCATGGATAATCCACCAATCCACTTGATCCAATCCATGAATCCACCAATCCATTAGATCCAATCCATTTGATCCATGGATCCACCAATCCAATTCACCAATCCACCAATCCAATCCATTTGCCATCTCTATTGGTAATTGTGTTTCATAGGCGTACAAATATTAATTGCTCTGTACTTTGCATTCATTGCAACTTAGAATTGGTGTGCACAGGTGGCTTTTAGTCCATGGCCTTTCTTGCAGTCCACGTCCCTTTTTGTTGAATTTTCCCTCCATTTTATCTTTTTGGTCACTTAATTGCTTTGTTTGTCATAGTACTGCAAACGAATGACTGACTGTTAGGGGTCGTTTGGAAGTTACGATTGTTTTGTTGAAATTGTCATTATGCATGTATTGTTTACAATGCATCGTTTTTTTGTTTTTTTAGCAGAAACAATACATGGATTATTTCTATGATGTGACAGAAACTATCACTCATTTTGAGTGATTGTTATATCTCAACTTTTAGTTGTGATTGTTGAGATAGTTGAGTTGAGATTGTTTTGTCTCAACTTTTAGCTGAAGCGACATACACAATCACACATACCAAACGTTGTATTCTACAATGCATCAAATTCGACAATACATGTATACATGCATTTTCAACAATACATCTATTTAACAATCGCAACTTCCAAACGAACCCTTAGTATGTTTTCCCATTCATGAAAGGAATAATTAATATATTGCCACATGGACGATTTAAAATGAAAAGTAGGTATTTGTGCGTCAAAAAATTGAATTTTTAAGGGATTAATATGTAAGACTAATGCACGTATATAATGCAACCACATTTACTAGGCCTTTTAGCCTTAATACCGCCTTCATATTCTCATTTATTTATTCAGTAATATATTGGCAGCCTACGTTGAAGCTCTGCAATTATAGTATCACAATTGATTCCGCTATTCATATTTAAATTCCCCCAAATTGCTATTGTGTCTTCCTTCAAGGCTGAATTTCTATGATTGTTTGTATAAGCAAGCTGTTTTTTTTTGTTTCTTTACAAATGTTATGGCAATTGAGTTTTAGAAGCGGACCTCTCACATGCTCATTTGTTAGTGTTCTTAACTTCGGAATATAAACTAACTAGCTCGAAGGACATTGACTCTATAATATTAACAGAATTATCAAACCATGACCTTGATCCAGAAGGTTATCGCGCTGTAACGTCATTTATGTTGCATGTCCCATGTGGTGTTTTAGGTCGTAATGCTCCTTGCACAGAGGGTGGTGTTTGTACGAAACATTTTTCGAAGCACTTTTGTGAGCAAACAACTATCGATGATAATGGTTTTGCCAAATATCGGCGGCGTAGCAGTGGGATTTCGTTCACAGTCAACTCTGTGTCCTTGGACAATCGTTTCGTTGTTCCATACAATTGCTATTTTTTGTTGTGGTCGATGCTCATTCAATCGTATGGTCTACTTAAGTAATGAAGGACAATTAGTTATATGTATTCCATTTTTCAAGTGAATGGTTATGTTTATTGCTTATATCGTTTTTCTCCTCTTACTATATTTTAAGCAAATTGTGCATAGTTCGACCACTTTTGAATATGTAATCTGTGTAACCAAGGTAGAAAAGACTCATTACATGCAACTTAGTGCATATATTAATATCCATTATTGTATACAATTTCGTTTTCCCCGGCCAACAGGCCGGGTTCGGGGCTAGTGATATTTTGATAGGGATATCGATACTATATCGATCTACACCTGCTAGCATGCGTAAAAAATGAAATAAGTAATTTGGGCTTTTTCTTTTGGACTTAGAAAAGTATGGTTACGAGCGGCGTGTTATGCAAACTGCTGCGGCAGGCCCAAAAATGCATTGTGCCTCGCAACCGCCACGCCACACGGACGTACACGTCGGTGTGCCTTCTCTGCAACGAAGCTATAAAAAGAAAAAAAAAAAAGGAAAACTATTCAGATCAAACAGAGAGAAACTCTGTGAGAGTAGCCGCGCCAGCCCGTCAGCCAGAGTTTTTGATCCTTCCAACGCCAAAAAGACAAACGAACGCCATAATTGCTGCAGTGAAGGCCATTACTTGACAAGGAGCCTCTTCGTTTCCAGTTGGGGCCTTCACTTTCGATCAACTTCATAAACCTCCAGCTCCGAATTCGAGAGACAAGCAAAAGGAACAGTTTTCAGAGAAGAAATGCTTGGAGTCGGCGGAGATACTCCTTCCAGGTAAATGGAGAATTACACTCACTTCAATTAGGGATTTTCTTTTTACCTTCTCAATTTCGTTTTTGGAAATCGTCGGAGTTTGGAACTACTAGCATTGGCTATGATAGCTTTGAGCTTGTCTCTTGGAAAACTGTAAATTTCCATCGCGTGAAGTGCCCTAGGGTAGGTGTTGGGTTTATTGTGAATGCGGCTTAGAATATCTCTATTCTGTTCTTCACCTACCATGCGTTGAACCTTTGAGGGAAGGAATTCGGTTGCTGTGTGCAAAACTTTAATGCAAGGTTTTATGTTCGTTTAGGTATGAGTTGTTGACTATGGTGAAGAAGCATTCGGCCTTCTTAGGGCGGGAAGAGAACCAAGATCCTTCTGATGCTCAAATGGACATTCGGTTTTGGCGTGATGTGTTTGATATGTACTTTGTCCGTGGCAAAGGGACGAGTGGAAGGGAGGAGGATGATCTCATTTTCTTTGTTAAGAAGAAGGTTGAGCATTATTTGTTTGTTTTCCCCGTGTTTTCCATGTTTATTGCTTGTTCTAGTGGATAGTTAGGTGGCTCCAATTTTACTACCTCATGATGTCGTGTAGATGGCACAGGAAAGAGGTGCCGGTGATGACGAGGATGATGACTCGCCATACTTTGTGCGCAGGTGGGCACCTAAGGTAAATAAACTTAACATGATTTTTAGTTCATTGAGACTCAAAATCCGTGTCAGCCGAAATGTTTCAATATGGAAACATCAAATGATTTTTACATGGCAACTCGGAAGACTGGCCATGGTTTAGACTATTTCATTTGGAAACTTATAGGTGTATTTGAGACCATGTTCTCTAGTTAACTGATGGAAGAATTTTAGGGGTTAACCTGTGGTACTTACCTAATGTATCTACCTCATCTTGCCTACCAGTTGGATCATCTAATAACTGAGAGTTCAGTAGACGTGGACTGGGGGCGCTCATTTTACCTGAACATGATAGCACACACATCATACACAGTAACTGTAGCAATTTGCAGGTATAATTTCTGCATAACCTCCCCCTTCTTCCTTTGAGCAACCATGCTTTAGGTTTTGTCATTAATTGATTACTCTTGTCTTCTCTACTTATGTTTTCTCTTTGCTTGTTTTAATATAATATTGTGTGCTTGTATGAAAGTGGAACATGTTTTATCCTTTGAAGAACTTTCCCGTTTATAATGGTTGTTTGGTGCTTCTTCAGTCACCATGTCCTTCAGAATCATCAAGCTGGCCAGAATATGCCTTTGTCTCCCGTATATAAGGTGAGTCTGACTTTTATGTTTAATAGTTATGTTATGGGACCATTGAGTGGTGTATCTTTGGCTTACTCCAGTTTTCAAGCATTTAGTTGGTAGCTTAATTAAGTTCACACTGTTCCCTAAGTCTTTCTGGATTCTGTAACTTGAAATAAGAGACTCACTGTTTACCTTATTATGAGACCTGTGTCTTTAAAATTCCATATTGCTTGATCCCTTTTATGAGGAGGGCTATGCTAGCTGTTCCTTATGTTTCTTGTGTATATATTGTTAAAGAGCTTGTTGCGGTCTTGATGCAGGTTGTGAAGACTGTTTATGCATCGCCAAGTCGTGTAAATTTTCTTCTGGACTCTAAAAAGGTAAGTTATGTGCTGAGCCGCAGTTGATTTACATCTCTTTTGGTGCATTAGAACTTCATCCCTGTGCTTTTTCATGGCTGTGCAGGAAGTGGAGACGACACCTGCCTATCCAGAAATATGTTTTGCAGTTGATGATTTCGACTCCACTTTTGATGCCGTGGTAATGTTATTTTGTCATCTCAATTTTACCTTTTAATGCTACATTTAGCTCCGGATTGTAGACTCAACTTCCGACCATTCTCCTTTTGACATTGTCATCAAAATATTTGTGCCATCTGATTCCATCTAGATTTCGCTCAATGATCATAACTGGATTCTCATTTCAATCTCTTACTTGCCAATGAGATGACTAATGTGTTCTCTTTCCTTGAAGCAAATTCATGTGTTCTGGTTTCCAAAATATGTTCATGTTTTTATTCCTTCTTTGGGGAATATTTGTTTCTCCTCTTATATGCACTTAAGAACTTTTCAAAATGTTGAAGTTTATCTATTCAACTCTGAAGTACAATGTCTTCGACTTGCATTAAGAAATTGACTTGTCTAGTCTTTAAAGTCCCAAAAAACATATATTGCTTAGGGAGGAGTTATATTGAAAGATACCATGACCCTGCCAAGGTTTGATTAATATTTCTTAGTTTAAGTTTAAGCTTGTGAAGGAATCCCTACGTGAAAATCTCAAATAATCAAGTACAAAGAAAGGTAGTTACACCCAGGAAAAAAGAACAGAAAAGAGGACAGAGATAAAGATTGTGAGAATTAGCACTTGCAGGACTGTTATTCAATACAAATTGACGCTTTCAGTTGATTTTGTTACTATGCAGGTCTTGACGGAAAGAGACCATTGCTATTGTGTGCTTCTAAATGCACATGATGGGGCAGCATTTCCTAATGAAAAGGAGTCCCATGATAGTGGGTCTAGTAACACCTCCGGTTCTGCAAAGATGAAAGCATCTAAGGTCTGGATCAACTATGAGTTAGATTGGTAATATGTTTCAGTTATCTATGATTTTGTGGATGTTGGATATTATAGTCGGTGGGATATTATTTGTTTCTTAAAAAAGTAAGCTTTCTCCAGTTTGATGATTCTTGCTCTCAAGTCTGTTAGCAGTTTTTTAAAACAATCTAGTATGCATAACTTGATATATACACCTTAAGAACCTGGCCAGGATTGTAAAAGTCTGATCGAAGTTACACGTAGACATAGCTTACATATGACGTAGAGAGATTGAATGGCCGTCCCTGCTGAATGGTCTCCTATCCAAATGTAACATATACGCTGAAGGAATTTACTAGAGAAGGATATATTCTGCTGGTTAACGTTGTTACTATGTACAAGGAGCTAAGTAGGTAGGTGTTGTGCAATGAAAGATATTTAGACTTTAAGAGTATCATCTGCCTACTTATGATATTTCTCAATATCCTTGACTTGGGACAATTGGACAAGTAAACTAATGTTCTGGCTGTCATTATTGCAGCTCACTCTTTTCTCTGGATTTGTAAGCTACCAAATGGTTCGACAAGCTTATGAGGGTATGTACTCTTAGAAATAGAATGGGGTTTTTTGGTTATTCCATTGGTTATAATCCATTGAAACTCTAGGACCAAAACTGTTTGCTTTTCCTTTTCTGGAGAAGTGTTCTATGAATTTCATATTTGTTCTTAAGCTTGGCAGTGCGGCATCAGCTCGGTAATTACTTGTTTTCGCATTGTGTCGTACTGGAATCATGAAGAACATTATATGCATAAAATCCACGTATTGCCTGGTTTAACGTGCTTTCGTGGCCTTCATATCTTACTTAGTACAGAGTCTAAATGCACACACCATTCTTTTATCATTTGGTTTCCGACTTTCCTTTTGAAGCTGGTAAGTCTGGGTTTGGGAGCCTTCTTTCACTTGGACAGTCACCCCGTAAACCAGACAGGCTTTTCATGAAAGGCCCAGGAGGTCGAGGGGAAGTGGAAGTCGCAGTTTCTGGTGTTGCAGGTATTTTGAAAATTCCCTCTAGTAATAATTCTCTTACCAATCCTCTCCTGCATAATTTAGAGTGTTGATTTGTGTTTTTTACATTTCATCCCAATGCATTATTTGTACTCTTTTTTTTTCCACGGATCATATCTGTATTCATCAGAGGCCTAGTTTCAGGTTTTCTTTGCTGTACTAAAACTTGGGTTTTTTAAAGATCAAAGCCAGGTAGGGGATATCGGTCCTTTCTCACCTCTCGCATCAAAGAAAGGATTTGGGATTGGGTCAATTATGAAAAGAGCAGCATCTGTTGCATCTGAAGCTGCAAAGAATGCTTATGCTGCTGCTTCATCCTCAGCTGGTTCTGACGACGAAATGTTACCCCTCAAGTGCTGCTTGATGTCCATCTCATTACCTTGGGAAGACATTGCTTGTGATCTCTTATTCAAGGTCAGTGACATCTGTTTTGTGTTTTTGCTTCCCCGACTTCGTCCCTTCCCTGACAGTAATTTTGCTTATCTTTACCTGTTTTTACTGCCAAATCTCAGGGAAGTCCTCCGGTAAACATGTGAAAATTTTATTCCCTAGCCCTTGGATGGAAACATACCCCATGGTTGGAAGATGATACAAAGACTATAGTTGCATGGATTCCAAGTTGTAAATTGAAATTTCTTCTTTCCCTCCCTCCTGTCTGAGAAATGTCATGCTGTTTGTTGTTCATTGTACTGTATAAAATTGCCAACGATGCAAATAGGTATATTCAAATGTGTGCCTCCTTATTCCCAGAATTCGAATCCAGTAGTCAACCTTGGGTTTTAGTATTCTGTTCAGACTTTCTCTTCTTCTCCATTGATGATTGAACCGGATTGTAAGCGACCCAGTAGCTTATGCGATGAAATGCAGTCTCCCTGCCGTTATCCAAGTACAGAATGTCATCTATATGGCTGAATTGGAACCAGACTTGGTAATTGGTAGTGATCGAAAGCGAACCAACCCGGAAACAAAAGGCTGGGTTCTTTTTTCGCATTCCTGCGTTATCTGCAGCATCATCTCCAGCTTTGCTGACTGCTTTTTTGGCACCACAAATTCTCCCTAGCTAGTGTTTTCAAATTGGGCTGCCTTGGTCCCCTTTAAGGTTTCGTTCCCTATTGGCTGATCTCTCTCCCCTTGTTTGGTTCCGTATTCACTTTCCAACTTGTTTGTCTGGGTAGTGTTTCACTTTCCTCCTGCCATGGACAATAATGGAAACAAACCCATTTGAAAGCAAAGAAAGAAGAGGGCAGAGGCGCAGAGTTTGCTTGCTTTGCATAGCATATGTAGAAGGTGGCAGTTGGGGAGTGGAAGCACTTGCTTTGCTGCAGCAGCACATGAGTCATGAAGGCTACTAGATTTTGGTTGCTGTCAAAAACCAAAAGAAAACTAAAGGGATGATGAGGGTAGACTAGTAGAGTAGTAGTATAGTTTTCCTTAACAAAGAGATGGAGTGAGAGAGAGAGAGAGGGCTTTGGCCTTTGCATTTTACTTTCTGCAGACAAAGTTGGCAAAAGTTGATTAATGAATGATCATAAGAACGTGTGCATGTTAGTCTCCACTACTGCTGCTACTGATTCTTCCCCACTTTTGTTTTGGTCCTTTTTTCTTGCTTCCTTTCCCTCCCTCCTCTTATAGTGAAAGCCCTAAGGAAGGTTTGCTGTGGAGATGTTTTTTTACATATTATATGCTACCACACGACGGGCCCAACTGGAACTAACTGCCAACTTCCCTAATTTAGATAGGGGAGGAAGAACTATATAACAAGTTGTCAAGATGTTACCCAGAAATATTTTATAACCAACTGCCCTGGGAATATTCCATGTATCATAATCTGTGTGGAATTGTGCATGTTCTTTAACTCTCTTTGCAACAAAAGTTATGGGCATACCGCAATTGAAAGCACCTGAACATGCTTGCTTTGTTGGGATCAAAACAAAATTCAATGTGGCTGGCTTTTGTGACGGGGGGAGAATTGTAGATCGCATTTGTTTTCGTTTCTTTATTCAAAGTGTTACATTTGAGAAAAATGAATTAAGAGATGGGTTAAAGAATGGATGACAATGGGTTGTTTTGAGACAATTGTTATTGGTTCATTCTTACATTAATTGGATTGGATTTTGATTGTATTGTACCTACATTCATCTTATCTATTTCTTGATGGGATTAGATTTGGATTGGTATGAAATCGGCTTAGTATAATTGATTGGTTTTTGATAACAATGTAATTGCACATGTTTGCACCCCTAGTTCTTATCCGTTTGTGGGGCATAGTCGTGTATTTTTTGCCTATTTTACACCGGGTTGTGCTACTTTGTCATATTTCAGGTCCCATACGTCGAAGGAAAGGCTAAACACGAGTTTCGGGGCATTCGGAAGTCATTCGGTCGAGCTGGAGCCAAAACACGGGCGCGCCTAAATCATAGCACGGCCATGTTCCTGGACCGTGTTTTTACTGCCGAGGCTTGATCCAAAATTGTCCTGCGCTGACCCAAAACACGGGCGGGACTGACTCAAAACACGACCGTGTCCAACATCAGGCATAAACGTGTTTTCCCCAAGGAGCGGCCGTGTTTTTAACACGTGGCAAGGGCACGGGCGGGCAGCAGCAAAGCACGGCCGTGCCCTCGACCGTGTTTTGCTCAGTGATGCCCTTTTAGGCAGATTTGAGCCAAAAGAGAAGGGGTTCCGAGTTTTAGAGAGACAGAGCGATTCCTAGAGAGAGAAAGCGACGAACCAGAGTTCCCAAGTGCCCTAGCTTGATCTTCATCACCATTGGAGCCCGGCTTGAGTTTGGAGACGTGCCGATCGACTACCAGGAGCAGAAACCCATCCTTCACAGTATGGTTTCCGCATCTGAATATGCTTTTGCTTCTTTCTCCATGGAGTAGTTTTCCCATTCATCTGGGTATGGAGAACCCTAGATTTATATGTTAGGGTTGATTGTATGAACCCAAGTACAAATTTTATGATTTGATTATATTCAATTGAGGCTTGAATGATTGATTGACTTGAATCCTGATCAAATTCCTGTTGCTTCTGCTTTAACCTAGAAAGAGAATATCTTCCTAGGTTGATAGAGCAGCCTTAATTGAAGGTAGTGAATTGGCGACTTTAGTCGAGGAGCCAATTTACTATTCTGTACCGAAGTTACTTCGGTAGTGGAGGTTTTGTTCGTTAGGGCCTCAATCTATTTACTCTGGTGGAGGTTAGTCGCCCGCTGGGGACTCAGATTGAGAGGGTCTGGAGACCTTTAGAGAGACTTCAGACTTTTTAAGAACCTTCCGCTGTATAACTATCATAGAAACTGAACTTGGTAAATTGCAATCTGGCTTAACTGCAGTCTAGGGGGAACCATATCCGGGTGACCTCTCTCGACTTGAAAACAATCGTATAATTGCTTTGCTTGTTTAAACGGGCACTAAAGTTTCACCGCTAGATAATAAGAATTCACTGAGTAGTCATTACATCTAGGACCCGGGTTGACATTAAAACCCAAACCCGCTATACTACACTTTAGGAAGTGGTTACACTTGGCCATTTTCTAGAGTGACAATAGGAGTGAGCCAATTTTAATAGCACATGATTCAATTATTTTAAAACCGTATTTCTAAAACCATATTAATTATAACAAATGGCATAATTTTCAAAACAAATTAAGCACACTAAACTAACTAGATCATACAAACAACATCAGATAAAATGTGTATCATATTGAATATGATATCCATTAACTAGGGATGGCAAGCCTAGAGTCGTAGGCAGATACCCATCCGATAAGGCCCCAAGTGGAGTGCTTTCTGAGGCTTGTCAACGGGTGGCGGGGAACCCGATATCCGTCAAACCTGGGTTTCGGGTGGTGACGGATCGACGACTATCAGCCCCGAGGCTCGCCCGACGGATTACACGTCCTCCAGAACGACGACATTTAGCAGATCATATATATTCTCTGCTTGCATGTTCAGAAACCCTAGCAGCCGCCTCATTCTTCATTCAACTGTCTACCAATCCCAATCCCAAACTCTAGTTTCCTTCTTTCTCTCTCCTCCTCTATGGCGATTAGTGATCAGATCGCTAGATAATCACGACTTGGCCGATTTTTTGCCTTTTCCCCTCACCAAAATTGACAAATCTCTCCTAGTTTCCTTAGGATTTGTCTTCAATTCCTCCATTCGACCAATCACATGGCAGGAGGAGCAACCATCCGATGAAAATTTCGTAGAGCACAGCCCAACAAAGAGTCGTTTGAAGTTTAAATCGCTGATTATTCGATAACAGATAAGTTAATTCTGGGTTTTTCTATTCTTTTGGTTTTCTTCATTGTAGACCCAAAATCTCTACTCAGTTTTGTACTGCTATATATAGGGGGAATTTCAGAGGTCGTTCCTCACCATCTGGCTATCTTTTGATATCCAGAACACACCAGTCCACAGAGAGAAGAGACAGAGAGATTGCGACGAGCCTCCAAATAGAGTCCAGGCCTCGAGGGTAAGGATCTTGATCTCTTGTCGACTTTTTCTGGGTTAGTGGTGTCAATACATACATGCATTCATAAATCTAGTTATAATTTGCTTTTTGTTCGTTGTTCACTCGTTTTTTGGGCCAGGGTGAACTCGTTTTGAATCGATCTTCAAGGACTGAAGATCAAGTGATCAATGATCAGTCTACTATCATTGGGTACTCGACAGTCCACAGAAAACTCAAAGAGAAGGTAATCTCGTTCTCCTCTCCTAAGTCCTAACCAGTAGGCAGTAACCATTGTGTTTGTTGTGTGACTTGTTGTGACTATGGCTTGCTAATGCTAATAAGTAAGTTAGAAGAAGTAAAGCTTAATAGTAATATTGCTGAAAAGGGTGTCTGGTTTGCTGATTTAGTGTTGTCCTGTCAATGTAACTAAGTAAAATTAAGGCCTAATCAGTAATATATAACTTGATTATGTTCTGATGGAAGGTGCTACTACTATGAATGTTGAACCTGCTCCTAATGCTAATGTCCCTAAAAATGAGGTTTCTAGAATTAGTGTTGTCCTGTCAATGTAACTAAGTAAAATTAAGGCCTAAGTAATAAAATTATGAGGTTTCTAGAATGGAACTGATTTTGATCCATGAGTACCCCCTTATCCTTGTTAATCATGTGGTTCAAACGTTTTTGTTGTTCTCTTCAACCTCACTTTGTTGTTCCTAGTAGACACACTATGAAAAGGATATTATGGGTTTGTATGGGGTTGAAAGGGCTAAATATCATACCATGATTGATGGTAACCCGGGGAGGGTTTTAGTGACTACTGATTTGTGGACTACCTCAAATTAGAAAAGGGGGTATATGGCAGTAACTGGTCACTTTATTGACTAATCTTGGAAGATCCATAACATAATGTTGAGGTTTATGTATGTTCTAGCCCCTCACACTAGTGAAAGACTAGCCGATAGGTTGTTTGACTCTCTTTTGGATTGGAACATTGACGGTAAGTTGTCCTCAAGCACATTGGACAACTGTACCACCAATGATTCAATGATATTTCATATGAGAAATAAGCTTGTGA